ATATTTTTGTTTGTTATTATCTCATATCTATTATCAGTTTTCATGAGTCCACAACGCACAGGCGACAGGCCACAACAATAATATCCTATGTCAAAATATCATAGAATAAAGATAATATGATSGAAGATCGAATACTTACCTTATTTTTATAATTAATAACGATTTGTTACGTTTCTCGACTTCTTGGCTCTTGCCCCGTGGACCAATACCTAATTTTTAATTTTTTTCATTAACTTTACTATTGTTCTGTATTATTAACGCTATCCAGTATGTCCATCGAATTTAAAAAACGTAAAGTTGTGCAAAACCGACGTAGGCGAGCTACGTCAGATAGTGAAAACAGTGATGAAGAAAGTGCTGTTGTTTTAAACGAAAAACGAAATAAAAAATGCAGCCCATTTATACAAAGTACTTCAAACAAAAAGCTCAAAGCATCTGAACCGTTACATGATTCTTCAGAGAGTGATAATGAATCTGTCGGTGTTTCATATCGYTCTAAAATGGACACCGACATGAGTGGACCAAAGGACATGGGTGCAACAGCAACAATTGAAATAGATACTGAACTTGACAAAGATGCCCAAGCTATCTATGAACGTTCTTTACAAGTGAATAAAGAACTTAAAGGTAAAGAAGATGACAAGGTTTATAGAGGTTTAGCAAATTATACTCAATATTATGAGAAAAAAGATACAGCTTTAGGTAATGCATCTAGTGGGATGGTACGCAAAGGACCTATAAGAGCACCAGCAAATTTACGTTCTACTGTTCGTTGGGATTATCAACCTGATATTTGTAAAGATTATAAAGAAACTGGTTTTTGTGGTTTTGGTGACAGTTGTAAATTCTTACATGATCGTTCAGATTATAAATTTGGGTGGCAATTAGAAATGGAATCTTCTCAACAATGTGATTCTGATGATGATGATCCATCAAAGTATGAAATTAAAGAAAATGATGAAGATTTTCTGCCTTTTAAATGTTTGATTTGTCGAGGATCTTATGTCAACCCTGTAATGACAAAATGTAAACATTATTTCTGTGAAAAATGTGCTTTAGCACATTTCAAAAAGAGCACTAAATGTTTCGTTTGTGAGAAACAAACTGGAGGATTTTTTGATCCAGCTAAAAATATTATTGAAAGACTTAATGCAGCTAATACAGACATAATACATGAATGCAATTCAGACGAAGAATCAGATTAAGTAATATATTATTATAATATACCTATTACCTAAGTATCAAAAAATATGTAATATAATACCATAGTTGTAAATGCTTAAAAAATGTGTATTAAAAAAACTTTCTCCTCTATAGTGTTTACAGTACAATAGAAATCTTTTTTTTTTATTTTAGATTTATAAACTACCTTCATTCAGTACAAAAACTGTGGATGATCTGTGTTATTAATCTTAATATAAGAAACTACTAACTAATTAAAACAAACATATTGTATTAATTTAATGTTCCAAAATATTATGATTGAATTCTAGAACTCTATGAGAAAAATAATTTTGTAAATAATTTTAAGAGCCTATGAATTA